CGGGCAAAACCTTTAGGGCAGGCAGTGGCATAGTGGTAATATCACTGGATCAATAATTTAGAACGCCAGACTAATGCTCTAAGGACATGGATTTCAATCCTGCAATGGCAGGTGGTGAAACAAATCTGGAATTTAACAAAAAGCTAGTTTAATGGTAACCATGTAACCACTGGTGATTGTTGTAAAAACCCATTTTGTTCACCGATGTCCTTTACAGAAAGAAATCTGCCATCCTTAACTGATCTGATCTACATGTAACCCCACACCCAAAGCCATCTTATTGAATCTTAAATTGCCTCTGGACAATCAAGGATAGGCAGTAAGTGCTGACCTAGCTAGTAACCCCCACGTCCCATAGGTGAATAAAAAGAATCTCTCATCCCAATGTGTGAAGACTAGCATTGTCTAGGGGATTAATGACGGGAGCATAGATTTCAAATTTTGTGCTGTTCTAGTTTATCTGTCATTGTCACATCAAAATGCTATCTGGCTTCTTGGTTCCCTGTCAAACTCTTTCCCAGAATGTGCAAGACCTTTCTTTTCACTAAGCAGTTCCATAAGCTGTTTCCTCCAGTCCATAGCTGAAGCACGAGCAAGGATGTTATTGATTTCTTTGATGTCGAAGACAAAACTTGAACATTGAAATCTCCTGGCTGCCCTTTCTCCTTGCTCAGCACACTAAGCCACGAACCTGCTCTTCCATCATGACCACTACAAGCTTATTATATACATGAAGACCATCTAATGGTGTCTCAACCTATTCTGACCACACTACTAATAACTAACGTGCCTTTCGAGCTCAAATCCAGCTGACATTATAAATTATTCCCTTGCTGCTAGATCTGGCCCCATGCTGTCAAAATGTCCATCATCATTCCAGTCCTTAAAAAGCTCGCACTCCATCACTCTGCAACTGACACAGCACTGTATTAAACCTAACCAATATCAGAAAAATATATTCTAATTGTGATTTATTACTCTGCCTTGAACACTGTACAGCCGCTGATAGGTTCACCATGCTGTCCTCCTCCATTGTCCAGGATGGGTAAGGTTAAGATATAAGATGGTGCCTTCAACAGCTCGTTAAATCATAATCTAGTGCCAATCTTCTGCTTTTTCCCCATACCCTTGCATATTATTTTATTCAAATAATTCCTTCATCCCAAATCATTTATTTAGGAAATATTTAGCTGGGGCTCAAGCACTAATCTTTGCAATACCCCACTAATCAATATCTGCCACTTGGAAAAGAACCCATTTATTCTCACAGATAGTAGGAACTGCAGATGCTGGAGAATCTGAGATAACAAGGTGTAGAGCTAGATGAACA